CTCACATTCGGTATCACTATCGATCTCACGATCGATATCACAATCGATATCACAATCAACGTCATCATCACCATCATCGTTATACACGTCATCACCATCCTCATCATCATCAACATCGTCATCATCGTCATCGGGACACCATCATCATCAACACCTCATCACCATCATTAACATCATCATCACCCCCATCATCATCGGAACGACACCACCATCGTCGCCATCATCATCATCATCAACATCATCATCATTGGGACACCATCATCATCATCATCATCATCATCATCATCATCATCATCATCATCGGAACACACCCCTTATCATCACCATCTCATCATCATCATGATCAACATCATCAGCACCATCATCGGGACACCATCATCATCATCATCATTATCATCAGATTCAGCAACATCACCATCACCATCATCATCATCATTGGGACAGCATCATCACCGTCACCATCATCATCACCATCATCATCCTCATCGGGACATCATCATCATCATCATAACATCAACAGCACCATCATCATCGGGCCACCATCATCACATTCAGCATCACCTCATCATCATCCTCGTCATCAACATCATCATCCTCAACATCATCATCGGGACAAATTCATCGTCATCATCATCAACATCATCATCATCATCATAGGGACACCATCATCACCATCAAAATCATTAGCAGCATCATCATCAACCTCATCATCATCACCATCATCATCATCATCACCGGGACACCATCATCATCATCATCATTTTCATCATCACCATCTCATCATCTCATCATCATCAACACCTTCAGGATTATCAACATCATCAGCATCATCGGGACACCATCATCATCATCATCATCATCAGCAACATCATAATCATCAACATCATCATCATAATCGGGACACCATTGTCATCACCACCATCACCATAGTGTCATCATCATCGTCAACATCATCGTCAACATCATCATCATCATCATCATCATCATCATCATCATCATCATCATCATCATCATCATCATCGGGACACCGACGAGACACCAGCGGGACACCGGCGGGACACCGCGCGCCACGGGCCCCCGGCGAGGAATCATTTGGTCTGGCCGCGCCTCAGCCGGAGGCGGGACACCGGCGGGACACCGCGTGCCACCGGCCCCGGTCAGGAATCATTTGGTCCCGCCGCGCCTCAGCTGGAGGAGACTTTCTTCTCGCCCGCCCACGCTCCCTTCTAACCCCCTCCCGTGTGGAAACAGAAGAAGCACGCGATACCCTCCTGAGGTTTAGCTTGTCGCCCCGGATCCATTCGTGAAGGTTCCATGGTCCCAAATCGGGACCCACGGGGCTGACATGTGGCACAAGCGCCCGGATCTAAACCACTTTGTCCGAGATTGGGGCCTAAGGGGGTGGGGCGGGGCGGGGAAGGGCGGCCGTACGAAGCTTAATCCTGGACCATCGGCCAGGGAGATCCATCCGTCCAGACACTGTGGGGGAAGATGATCATCCATCCCGGCCGTCCAGCGTAATCAGCGCGCAAATACCATGTGTTTGGAGTCTGGTTTTTTTGGGGGGGCAGCGAGAATAGACGACGCGCGTGCCTGGGGTGCATCCTCCCCAGGTTATTCAGGATCGACGCTTTGGAGAGCATGGGACCTGCGTCCTTCGTCGCCCGCCCGTCAACCCCTCCCTCTGCGCCCCCCCCGCTCGACCGAACCCACCAGTGGAGGCAGTGGGCCCGCGCAGCTGGGAGTCGTACTGAATGGGCTTCGCACGCAGAGTCTTTCGCGCGATTCATCGAAGGATGATGCCGCGCTGTGCTGTTGTCCTGCCCCCTCGTAGGGCCTCTTCGGAGCCAGGACTTTTACCTTTACCTTTACCCTCGACCGAACCCACCGGTGCCCGCTCCCGGGCCCGCTCCCCGTCCCCGACCCCTCCTGTTGCCCAGACCGAGGATCCCTCCCCCTTGGCTCTCTGGCCCCCCCCTGCCCTCCTTCCAAAGCCCTGCCTGGCCGCGGAGAGGGCCGCGGAACGGGCATCGGTCCAGGGCCTCGGGTAGGGCAGCGGTCCAAGGCCGCGGTGAGGGCCGCGGCAAGGGCCGCGGCAAGGGCCATAGCAAGGCTCCCGTCGGAGCGGGGGGCCCATCTCGCCCTCCGCTTCCTTTTCCTGCTCCTCCTCTTCGTCCTCCGCCTCGTCCTCCTCGTCGTCCTCCTACTTCTGCGCCCAGCCAGGCCTGCGATGCCGCCCCGTGGCCGGCCGCGCCGCCGCCTCGCCTAGAACGAAGCACCCCTTGAGGAGCCCCAGTGCGCTGCCGCCCACGGTGGCCGGGAACGAGCGGGCACGCGGTGAAAGGCCGAGGATGGAGCAGGAGGAGGTGGACGACGACGAGAAGATCGAGGCGGAGGAGCTGGAGCTGGAGCTGGTGGAGGAGGAAAGAGGTGGGAGACGTGGTGGTGGAGGGGGAGTAGTAGGACGAAGGAGGCGGGGGGGAAGCAGGAAGAGGATGAGATTGTTGGGGGAGGAGCCTGAGGAGGTGGAGGAGGAAGAGGAGGAGGATCAGGAGGAGGAGAAAGAAGGGGGTTGGCGGAGGAGGAGGTTGGCGAGGTAGTGGAGGAGGGTGGAACCTGGAGTGGGAGGATTGGGAGGAGGAGGGGGTGGTCCCAGACATCCGACGTCGTTGTTTTTGTTGTGCGATGTGGCTACCTAGGGGTCCAGACCCCCTTCCCGGGACCGTACCAGCTTCTCATCATGGGGCGCTGCTTGGCAGTCCAGGGCCAGGCACGTGTCCAGAGAGGCCGAGCGTTGCAAACACATATTGTCGTTTTTGTTCTGCACGCGAGGATGTCAGGATCCTCTTAGTTATTCGGAGGTGGACAGAACCCCCAACAGTGACACGTCGATTAGTGAATTGTCCTTTTCGGTTCTCGAGAGGGCGCCGTGGCGGTTATTTTCCAGGCTTGCGCCCGCCAGGTTTGGGCCTCAGGTCGTTTTCACTAAACCACGTTTTACTAAAGGGAGGTCTGTCCATCCTCCGAGTTGTCCTCAGTAAGATTATCCTCCTTTGTCGTTCATCCATCGTTCCTCGTCCTCACATCTCGTTTCGAGCAACAGCTGCCTAAAGAACGTGGCTTGCGCGGACTCCAAACAGTGAATTCTTTCATTCTGGATTAATCGGAGGTGACGGGGAAATATTGCAGTGACACGGAGAGCGCCCCATCGGGAAGTCGGTTTCGGGTTTTTCTCGAGCGTGCGGGGGAGGCGAAGCTGCGTGGGCGGGCGAGAGGACTGAATCCTCCTCTGGCTAGGGCGCCGCCGGGCCAAAAGACCGCCCCCCCCCCCCGAGTTGTCCAGCGGTGACCGGGGGTGTTCCGCAGGTGTCCCGCTGGTGGTGTGCCGTAGTAAGACCGATAGTTGGACCGAAAGTGAGATCGATAGTGGGACCGATGGTGAGATCGCTAGTGATATCGCTAGTAAGATCGATAGCATTATGTGAGATCGATAGTGAGATCGATCTTGATACTGCTAGTGATATCGGTAGTATGATCCATAGTGAGATCGATAATAATCTCGATAGTGATAATGCTAGTGAGATCGATAGTGAGATCAGTCGTCGGATCGATAGTCAGAGGGGTAGTGGAATAGATCGTGAGATCGATCGTTAGATCGATAGTGAGATCGATCGAGCGAGATCGATAGTGAGATCGATATTGATATCGATATGTAGATCGATTGTGAGATTGATCGTGAGATCGATGGTGAGGTCGATACTGAGATCGAGAATGAGATCGATTGAGTGAGACGTTGGTTCCTCCCCCTGGACCTCCTTACCACCCTACGGGCGACGGGGGCCCACGGGCTGGGACACCCTCCTGGATTTCCCCTGCCTCTTTTGGCCATCAGCGTTTTTGATCCCGTCCAGGGCCGCCCTGGCTTATCCCAAGCCGCTTACACAATTCCGAGGGACACGAAGCAGACATTACTTTCATGGAAGAGCGAGACGGCCACGGGCGGCAACATGGCGAAACCTCGCCAGATACACCAAGCGCACGAGGTGGCTACGAGGCGGCCACGGTTGGCAACGTGGCGAAACCTCGCCGGACCCTTTCAGCGCACCAGGCGGCCATCTCGGCCATGGGCAGCCGACGATGCTCATGATCATCCGCTCCCCTTCCCTGATCGATGCTCTGGCCACTGGCCGCGGGGGGATCACGTGCACACACAGGGGTGGTCACGTGGTCTTTGAGGGGTGGGGTGAGCAGGGGAGAAGGATGAAAGCTGCTGGTAAAGCCTGTCTCGGGCACTTAGCTGAGTCATGGGGGGGGGCACCGTTCAGAGGAGGCTTGGCATCGGTTTCCGTGGCTCTTTACCCTCGGCTGTCCCACAGTTCCGATGCAACGACTCAGGTGTGAAGTTGGCACTCTCACGACAGGGCCAAGACATGCCATAGGATCCACAACGGTGGGCATGATCGACCTACTCAAGGCATTGACTGCACGATCCACACCTGGGAAGGCACACCAAGGTATTCGATGGAACGGACTGGCTAGGGACTAACGGTCATGCTTGGTGTCTTCCCTTCCGCAGGATCATTGTGTCCTTGAGTGATTCGCCCGCCGTGTTCGGCAGCAGTGCTCTCAGATCCAAGAGCTTTTCGAACCGTTAATTCCACGAGGCACCGCCTGTATTGATGTTTACCCAAGGAGTGTGTCGTCTCATGAAAAAGACCAGATGTGCTGTGGAAAGGACCATTGTCGTCTCAGTACGCGTGGTCTACGCTGGACCTTCACGGGCAGAGCACCGTGCTTCAAACATGGAGCTGTATAGCATCTCGCAGACGGTAGTTACGTTGCCGTCGCTCCATCTCTATCTTGTTGTGTCTCGTCATCATCCTTGCTGGGTTTCGACCGCTTGCCGTGAGTGTGAGAAGGGCGCCTCTCCCTCCATTCCCCCCCGTCCTTCCCTCCCTCCCTCTCCTGCGCCTGCGCTAGGGGAGTCCCGCCGCGGCGAGATGGTCGCGGAAATCCACGAGGGAGACCTCGTGGTGGTCACGGAGCTTGCGCGAGCCCAGGGCTGACGACGACGACGTCGTCGTCGTCGATGTCGTGCTCTCGACCCTGCCTGCAGGGCTGCTGTGTGTTTGGCCTCCCGAGCTGTTGGCTTTCTCTTGGTGAAGGGCCTTCGGCCTGTTCTCCGTCCCTCGGGCCGCGGGACCGCAGAACTACAGGGGTGGTTGAAAGTAGGTACGGTAGGTTTAAGTCGGGCCTGCCCCCCTAAAGGGGGATTGTCGACGAAAAATAATAAATACCCAAAACATAGTACACAAATAGTCTGGGACATGTTTGTTGATGTTTTTTGTATTTGGGGGGTATGTTTAGACTATGTTTTACATTTCGCCCAAAATTCCCTTTAGGGGGACACGCCCGACTTAAAACTACAGGGGTGGTTGAAAGTAGGTACGGTAGGTTCGTGTCGTGTCGACAAATGGCGACCCCGCCGCCGGCGCCCGATGTTAAGCGCCGCCAGCGACACATAATCGGCGGCGGTTGAGCGATATGACGCTTGGGGAACGGCCGATCGATGAAGGCTGAGCGATCCCCGCGGTGGTAGGAATCAACGCCGGGGTCGACACGACGCGAACTTCTTGCATTTGTGGATTCCCAGAACCCAATCTACTGCAAGCAAGCGCCTTCCTCGGAGGGGGTGCTTTATACATGAGTACCTCCTGGAGGATGGATTTTCGCTGACCTCGAGAGTCGGTGGCTATTGATATATTCGGGGCCCCAGGAGCCAACTTGTGTCCATATCCACCGCCCGCTTGGTCCCCATGACGTCGGTTTCCAGGTGGTGGATATGGATCAATCCCCGTCTCGCACTTCCTACTTCAAGAATCGGCACGTGCTAATTGTTATGTGTTCTTGCCTGGGCGGGCCCGAGCCCGATCCACTTTATCCGCCTTTCTACTTCATTGTTCTACCTACTGTTTCGACGGATGGATAAAACAGCGTCTTTGCTTGTTGCGAAGACGCGCGCGTCTCGGAAGCGGTGCTCGTTCGTCCAAAACGGGGGCGGGTCGAACACGCGTCGGGCGCGAGTGTGGGTGGCATGTGCATTCGGCGAAGGTGTGGACACCAGGGCTCCCAGGACGCAGGTGGGAAGCGAATGTGGGGGTGGGGGCAGCGGGGTCCTCGCACGTGCAGCACGGGAAGGGGGAGGGGATAGGACGTGCGTATGGCACTCGTGCATTTGGTGTGTGGTGTTTTCTGCGGGCGCCAGGCGGCAGAATCGGTCATCTTCAGGCGGGAAACAAACACAGGCACAAATAATCGTCGATCCCCATGGCGAATGGAACATATGGGACGTGGAGGGGAAGACGAACATTCAGAAGGTATGGAAACTATGCGAATATTGAGCGTCGTGTCTATTTGTGTACGTGTCCCTGGGCACCTTCACACCTGCGCGGCGGCTTCACCACACGTGATCATTCGTGTGCGGAGAGGAGAGCGGCCAGAATGCGTCTGGTACGCGTGCCTTTGGCATTTGTCTGCGCGCGTGTAGATGCAAGGTCGCCCAGGGGGGCAACATATTCTTGACACGTTGCGCAGAACAACTATTTAGGTGCGAAGATAAGGGGGATGGAACATGCGTCTTGCGCAAGTGTTTTTGGCAAGTGTCTTCACGCGTGTGGGCGCTAAGAGGGATATCGAGCATGGGGACAGCGGAATCTTCATACGCAAAAGTGCATGCGCGGATGGTATTCAATATGCGGGCAGTACGCGTGCAGCCAGCACGCGTTTTCACACGTGCGGTCGGGAGCCTTGAGACGGGGATGAATGCAAACGGTGGTCAGCCAGAGCGCCCGATCTTGGAGGATTCTGCAGAGCCAGGGGTGCATTGACTCGGGCTGGCGTGCAGGATCCCGCAGGGTCTTGCAGAATCTTGAAAAGCCTGACTGACCCTGGTTCGCATTGACCTGGGTCAGTGCGTCCTCGATGCGGGTGCTAAGGGGGAGAATCGAACATGAAAGCGGCGGATTCTTCACACGTTCGAGGGAGCGCGCGGAGAAACATCCGTTCACGAGGGGCGGATTCTTCGCACGTGAAAGTAGCCCCGACCCCTGGATAATAACTCATCCCGCCCTTTTCCCCCTGATAGTTTGTTATCCCCAGCCAGTGCAGAGTTGGTGGGGAGAGGGGCGGCAAGGCCGAACGTTATTATCGCGGCGGAAAGTTGCGAATCGAAGTTGCTATCTTGTTAGGTTGATTAACAACATCATCAAAACGCGTGGCATGGCAATGGGGGTCTCACATATTCAGTTGTCGCAAGTCACGAATGTGTGGCAGGGCTATGCGACTCACCATTTCAGCTTTCCCATATCACGAAAGCGTAGCAGGGCTATGGGAGGCTCACTTTCTCAGCCTCGCATGGGGCGATTTGTTCGAGGTGGTTCGCAAGAGAGGTTTCCTGGCGAGGAGCGCCAAGGACCTCCAGAGCGCAGGAAAGCTTTAGGTGACAGATCTCGAGGAGCGCCAAGCACCGTAAGATCGAGGATGTAGAGAGGCGGCCGGGACCATCATCATTATCATTCGCAGCATCATCATCATCACCATCATCATCACCATCATCATCGTCATCTCCTGGGAAACCTTTATTATCCTCCCACGGACCCCGACCTTTATTATCCCCCGGGTTGTATTGTCAGGGGCGTAGGGTTACGCATGCTGGGGTGGGTGCGGGGGGGGGGGTACCGAACATTTGTGTTACGTCGCGGCGCGTCAGAGGCAATCCGCTCGCGCGCTCAAGTTGCCCAGGGCTCAAGGCAAACTCATCGGCCGGTTGCAAGAGCAGCACATGGCAGGGAGCAGCGGTCGCAGAGGACAGGAGGGGTGCGAGAGCTTCCACCGCGGGAAGAGCGTGTGGCACGCGTGCGCGTGACGTGTTTGTGTTTAAGTGTTTGGGCACGTATTGGAAACTGGGCCGACGGATTCCTCACACTTACAAATACCTGCGCGCAGCGGTGGTACCGAACGTGCTTTTGGTATGCGTGGGTGTGGCACGTGGTTTCTTGCGTGTGGGCGCCAAGGGGTGATGACGAATATGGAGGTGTCGGACCCTTCTTAAACAATCCGTCAGCCCCATATTCGATACCTACTCCCAGATTCCAGGCATACATCCACAATCGCCCATCGATTGATTAAGTTATTCACGCTTGCAAAACCTGCGTGGATGCCTATATCCAACATGCGTATGACACGCGTTTGTTTGACAATTGTTTCTCCGTGTGATGGCGGTAATACGAGGTGTCGAACATGGGGCAATGTAGCCATCGCACGTGCAAGTACGTGTGCGGAGGGGATGGTACGTTTCAGACATATGTCTGGCACGCGTGAAGTTGGCACGTGTACGCGCGTGGATGCCAACTCCGTTTGACCGGGGAGGGTATCCAACATGCGTGGAGTTGGTGTATGTTTTCACGCGTGTGCTCGCCGAGGGGGATATCGAACAGGGGGCGGCTGATGTCACACGTAAAAGCACGCAAGGGGAACGTGTCCAGCATGCGTGCGTGCATTTAACGCATGTTTTCATGCGCGTGGGCTGCAGGTGGAGATATCGAACATGTAGGCGGCCGAATCTTCACAACGAAGCACACATGTGCGCAGGGAGATGCTATCGCGCATTCGTCCTGTATGCGTGCATTTGGTACGTGCTGTCGGGTGCGGATGCGCTTCGGGGGGGGGCTCATCGAACGTGGGGGCGGCTGAATCTGTATCGAATAGCTCTTGGCCCATCCCGTCACCGTGCCTGGATTGTGGGTCAGAGTCTTCAGTGATGCGTTCTCAGGGGCCTTTTCGGAGCGTTCGCGGGAGTCTCTGGGGGGCAGTTTCGGGGCTTCTCTTGGTGCCTCTTGGGGGCTTCTTGGAGGGCCTCTTGGGGCTCTTTGGGGCCTCTTGGGGGCTTCTTGGGAGCCTCTTGGGGGCCGTCTGGGGCCGAGGTCTCGAACTGTCCGTTCGGGTCCCCCGTTCGGGCCTGGGCCCCCTCTTGGAGCCGTCTCAGGGGCCTTTTGGGCCGTCTTCGAGGTCTCTTGGCCGTTTTGGGGCCCTCTGGGGCCGTTTGGGGGCCCTTTTGGAGACCTCTTGGGCGGCAGTTTTGTGGCGGTCTTAGGGGGTTTCCTGAGATGTCTTGGAGCTTCGGGATGCCGAAAAGGCGATCAAGCAATGTCAAGACCCAGGTAACGTCAATGACTTTGGCCTCTGGGAGCCCTCTTGGGAAGGCTGCTGTGGAAGCCTCTTGGGGCGCCCTGTGCGCTGCCTCCGCCGACGGGGGGCCATCTTGGGCGTTTTGGGCGGGTCATGCGGCGATTCGGGGGCTTCTGTGACTATTTGAGGCCGTCGACGGCAACACCACAGCGCTCACCCTCCGGGACTTCGCCTCCGGCTCCTGTCCAAGGCGTTCGGTCTCCTGTGCAAGCTCCTCAGCACCGCCTGCACCCCGTCCCGCCCTCCGGCCGCCTGAGGCCCCGCCCGGCCGCGCCCTGTCTCCCCAATTAGTGCTTCGCGCGCCCCGCCTAGCTCTTAACCGGAAGAGGCCCGCTCTCGACCCGCCGAGCAAAAAACATGATTCTTTGAGGCCGGGGGATTGTGGAGTACATCGTCGCTTTCACATGTTTTGCTTTCGTATCGAGTGGAACACTCCTTCAGATTTAACTGTTGCTGTTTTTCTTGCAATGCTCCGTTCGCCGTGACCTCGTCATGATCTGCGTCTCTCGTTGTTTCGTCATCTCGCGTTCTGTCTCGATCTCTTTGTCTCTTTCCTTGCACTCGTTGCTGAAACTGTTCAGTTGTTATGCTAGCCTCTTCAAAGACAAACTGCCCCCCCGAGCATGGTCTTCGAAACTCAAGCCTTGTGCCAAACGGCATGGGGCTGGAATTTCGAGGACCGTGCTCCTTTGTCGTAAGTTTCAATAAGAAACCTTCTGGGGGTTGCAATAGGGATCCTCCTGCGAAGGGAGGCATTGGAACTCGCCAGCGCAATGCCACAGCAGTGCCGACGAAA